GCAACTATTTTAGAGTTTGATTTAATAATAAACCATGGCTTGTAAGGATTTTCCTTCATGGATCGTTTCCGAATACACTCTGCCATAATGAAAATAAATTCTGTATTCTGCACATGATGAAGCTTTACGGAAATGAATGCAATAAATAACCATTATCAAGTCGATATTCTTTCAGTCTGGCTGTTGTCCAGTCACTTCGATGCAACAAATATGAGAATATATCAGCTATTTCAAACAAAGGCAAAGTATGAAGGTTTTTTTGCCAAGGTTTTACGTTATACGGAGCTACCAAAGTTATCCTCGACTCGCCGTGTTTTACAGTACGACGACGACTGTATGACTCTTCGCGATCGTCGGTCTCCAAAAGGCTAACATTTAACTCGTTTGCAAACTCAACAAGTTCAAAAAGTTTAGCTTTACGAACATTGCTGCAAGTTATACCAACATCCTGAAGAAATTTGCGGAGTTCTGGAACTTTTTTGTTTTTCCAATCTATTGATTTACGCATGTAAGAATACAGAACGTCAATCCTCGGGGGCGGAGCTACGTCACAAGACGTTCCACGTTGCTAAGACGCGCACCACTGTACATGTATTTCTATGGGCTCTTTTCGCGCTGCTGTGGAACGCCGGTCGAGCCAGTGTAAATTCGAGAAAACAACACAAACTCAACTTTGAAGTAATCCTGAACAACCAAATTTATATATGTTACACAAGTAGGGCTATCTTGTTACACTGTTCAGGGGAGTCTCAACAACCATCCCAAAGTACCGTTTTCTGCGAGTTTTTGGCCTTTGCTTTCACCGCCAGGGTTGCCAAGCGCTGAAAATGCCCGGATGTCCGCCCCCCAGGATAACGTCAAACAACCCCACTCAGGCTCGTCATCCGGGTATTTATGATGCGCCCTCTAGCGGAATTCCGAGGAAAACTGGCAACTCGAAAATTAGGAATTACGATTATACGGATTTTCATGTCACATTTCAAATGATTACATTAGATAATTGTCGTCATGCAAACTGTTACTTGTCACCTTGTGCATAACTGTAATACAAGTGAGTGGAAAGTAATGCCAACATCATTAGGCCATAATGCACATTGTGAATTCAATTGTAACTCTCATTTTTTAAAATTTTCCACTCATGCTTAACCTAAATACCGCGAACCCCAGTAACGAGAAAAGGACTCCGGAAAAAGACAGTCCAGGATTGAAGAAGACAGTCTAGAAATCACGGGAGAAGACACACCAAAAGTGAGTGGGAAAAAAAGTTGGGTACGTGTAGTGTAGTGTTACGTTGGAATGCGGATGGTACTTTCCGATGTGGTTACTGGTACCTTGCATCATGGAGGGAGGAGGGTACTCACCTGGATTTTGTGTGGGAGTGCTCCGCTGCCAGTTGAGGGCGCGTTTTACTAAAAACTATGTGACTAACCCCGGGCATTTAATGAAGGTATCCACATTGTGGCATGACATGATTTGGTTAACTTGAATATATAAATGCATTGTTGGTGTTAGGCTGGCTGGTAATGTTAGATATAGTTACCTTGAATGAAGTTATCGCTAGTGTTACGGCAGTGTTGTTTGCAGGCTATTGAATGATTAGGTGAATATTTAAGAAATGATTTACGCAAATATTGCCTTCACGTTAAGTTTCGCATTACAAGTATATATTGCCTTCACGTTAAGTTTCGCATTACAAGTATATATTGCCTTCACGTTAAGTTTCGCATTACAAGTATATATTGCCTTCACGTTAAGTTTCGCATTACAAGTATATATTGCCTTCACGTTAAGTTTCGCATTACAAGTATATATTGCCTTCACGTTAAGTTTCGCATTACAAGTATATATTGCCTTTATGCTAAGTTTCGCATTACAAGTATATATTGCCTTCACGTTAAGTTTCGCATTACAAATATATATCAACCTGTATGTGCAATAATGTCATTTGTGTATTACAACTGAATTAAAGTTCGTCTTGTCGGCCAACGTTGTCTCTAATTAAAACTGACCCATATGACATGACTGTAACGATTCACCTTAACCTTCGTATATTACATTCAATTTTGAACCGCAATTACCTTCTCCCCAAACACAGTAAATCTAAAAACCATGTTTGTTGAATTGAAAATTGGGTGAAAATTTCACCATGATACACCTGCATCTGTTGCCATGAAAACATCATAATTCGCAGTAAAATTAACACTTCTTCCTGGATCGCCGGATATTTTAATATCCTTATCTTGGGCTGGGAAGGACATGTTTTCGGTTTATACATGCATGGTCAGACTAGATCAACGGCAGCCTATATCGATAATTCAATTGGAAACGTACCAGCTGCGCCAGGTATATAGCTTACACCAATGAAATTAAATGTAATTTTTATTATTGACATTTCGATGTTTTGATGAAATGAACAAATAAATGCAATGAGTGGATTTTGATTTCCTCAGATTCCCAAGTGTACAGGAGCGGATATAGCTGATTGAGTTAATAATGAAATGGTGCACACGATGGTAGGTATTGAACCATCAACTGGCAAACGAAATGGTAAAATTCCAATAATGCGTCATCGAATATTTAGGGAATTATAGCAATATTTCACATACAAATTGTCAAATACCAAATTACCAACTAAATGAAAAAAACACTATTTAGAACAATCAGTTAAATCGAGGCTATTTCACTGCAATACTCAAAGTCATTGTTGTATTGGATATGATGTCATAATTACATGTCTATGTATAAATAAGAGTTGGCGTATCTACGACTACATATAAAAAGTTAAATAAAATACTCATCAGCGGAAATTTACAACAATTAAACAGTATTATGACATATGAGTGTCGACGCTGGTG